GTCCCTGCGGGGCGGTTAGGAGTGGGGGGTCCCGGGAGGGGGCTGTCAGGGGACAAGGAGCAGGGGGGGTTGGATGGGTCAGGGGTTCTGAGGGGGGCAGTCAGGGGGTGGGAAGTGACGGGAGTGGATAGGGGCGGGGGCCAGGCTGTTTGGGGAGGCACAGCCTTCCCTACCCACCCCCCATACAGTTTTGCAACCCCGATGTGGCCCTCGGGTCAAAAAGTTTGCCCACCCCTGGTTTAGGTCCTTAAAATCTCACATAATTACACAAAAAGATTCACACACAACACTTCTCTTTTGCCCAACACCTCTTCCACTGCTTTTATTATTTTTTACACAACTGTACCCAGATTACACTCCCATCTTGGTCAATCAGAGACAGTCAAGTTAATAGAAACCCCTTATGTTCCTTTAGTGATTTTGATTAACTCCTCCAATAGCCAAATAATATAGATCAGAGTATCTGGCTGCCGGCTGCCTGCAACAGTCCTTTACAGACCATTTCTGTGGGAAAAGGGCCCATTTCCCCTCAAAATAGCTATAAAGGCTCCTGGGGACAAAAATACAGTGGTGGTAGTAGCCACCTGACCCCGTTGTGTAATTTGTTTAACTACCACGGTTCTACCCAATGTGACTGCCGAGTTGCACACACAATTACATTTACGTAACTGGGTTTTATCATCAAACCAAAAACTTCCTTCTTCTAACACCAGAACTGTTCCTCTTTAACATCTTCACAACCGTTACCTTTTCACATTTCCACCACTCCCAACCGTTTACTTCCCTCCAAATTCCCCCCAACCTCTGTAGTATTAATTTCTGCAAACAACTGCCTTTTACCCTGTGCTGTCTTTACCTCGGGATTGTTCAAAAAGGCAGTAAAACACTTTTATCTTCATGGTCACCCCTGGATCTTTCAACGGAATCCATCAGACTTCCCTCCTGCTTTTCCCGAAACCAAACAAACATTTTACATGAATATCTAAAGTGCTCTCCATTAAAACTTCAGAAAAACCGAGGGAGTGAGAGAGTGAGTGTGAGTGTGAGTAAAGCAACCAATTAACCCTGTGCCGTTATTTTCAAGTACAGGCTAACAGCAGCAAATTAAGCAAACTGAGGAGGAGGAGGAGGAGAAATAGAAGGATCTAATTAGCTCTGAGCACAGGGTAGGGCTCCCTAAGTTTAAACACTTGGACACTCTTACCCCAGGTTTTTATCCTGGCTCTGGGAGAGGAGTGGGGGTTGTTACCCGCTCCTGCCATTTTTCACTTTGAAACTTTTTTTTCTCCACTCCCCTAGGATCAAGTCCCAGCTCCTCTCCCTTAAGCTGGTCTGTTAACTCTGCTTTTGATCCCAAAGCCTGTTGTGCCAAATCATCTTTAACCACCCCTAACTTTAATTTACAATCCGCCAGTAGCCTTTGCTGGAATAGCACCAAACTTGAAAGGTTACCGACGGCTTCCCATAATGCTGCCTTTACTTCAAACCTCTCACGAGCGGACTTAAGTGCCTCCTTGCCCTGGAAGGCATCCTGTCCCCATGGGCAGGGACCTCCTTCTGCTACCCATTTACCAAGGAGGGTGGGCACCTCAGCCAGCCCCCATCCCTCTGGGTCCCCTAACACCGTCCCCATTTCCTTCTTAATCTCATCCCAGGTTGACACCTGTACCTGGACTGGGCCCTGATTCTTCCATAGCCACTTATCCAAAAAATCCATTACCCCAGCTTGCAAGGACCCACAACTACCATCATGAGAGCCCGCCATATCCCCGCCAAGCAGCCGCACGGACTGTTGGGGAGGGGGACTTACCTGGCTGCTACTCACCTGTCCAATGTGCTGCATCCGAGTCACGGCACCAAGATGTTAGAGGGCTTTCCCTCAACCCCCCCACTCCGCTGGTTCTTGTCACGCAGACGGCAAGCAGCAGAAGACCAGAAGTCCGAAGTGCAGACAATGCGATGGTTAGTGGGGTTAGTTCCAAACAAGTATATCCAGAGCGCTACACACCAGCAGAGTCTGTTTCCCGGTGTTCTGCTCCCAGCTCTGACACCCTGTACGTGCAGCATCAATGGTCAGGGGGTCTGTGCAGTGCCCAGCCCAACGGGGGCCCTGATTTCAGCCAGGGGGTGTGTAGTACCCAGTACCAGGGAAGCCTTGATCTTGCTCAGGGTCTGTGCAGCACAATGGAGGCCCCAGACCTGGTTGGGGGCTATGCAGCACCTGACAGAATGGGCCCCTAATCTCGGTAAGGGTCCATGGAGTACCCAGAGGTCCGATCTCAGCGGGGACCAAGGGCCTTTATAACAATTATCCCTCTTCTACACATGGAGAAACTGAGGCATTCGCCAAAAGTCAGAGCATCAGCCCATGGCAGAGCCCCATTCTCTTGAGTGCCAGCGAGTTCCTGTGCTATCACAACCCCACAGCAAGGAGTGAGCTGGACAAGCACTGCCCACACTACAGTCTGGAGCCAGGTTCAGACTGCACTAGATCAACCTGTGGAGCTCCTTGCCAGAGGATGTTGTGAAGGCCAAGACCATAACAGGGTTCAAAAAAGAACTAGATAAATCCATGGGGGATAGGTCCATCAATGGCTATTAGCCAGGATGGGC